GCACCCCATATATTTGTGTTTATAATGAGCAGTTTGCTTTCCCGTGTGGATGCTTGTCCATGAACAAGATCACTTCTGAAGGCCATTTCTTTGGAATTCCATTGCCAATCTCTTTGGATTCATGAGTTGGCTTCAGTGGACCTGGAAATGCTGAAATCATGTGTAGAATTTTGAACATGAGTCCTTATGCGTATCTTTTTGGGGAACAGAGTTTATAGTTTTCATCAGTATCTTAAAGAGGGCTATGAAGCGGAGTTAAGAACTGTTCTTTTTTTTTTAATTTTTTTTTTCAACATTTATTTATTTTTGGGACAGAGAGAGACAGAGCATGAACGGGGGAGGGGCAGAGAGAGAGGGAGACACAGAATCGGAAACAGGCTCCAGGCTCTGAGTCATCAGCCCAGAGCCTGACGCGGGGCTCGAACTCACGGACCGCGAGATCGTGACCTGGCTGAAGTCGGACGCTCAACCGACTGCGCCACCCAGGCGCCCCAAGAACTGTTCTTATTGGGGCATCTGGGTGGCCCGGTCAGTTAAGCATCTGACTCTTGATTTCAGCTCAGGTCATGATCTTGTGGTTCATGAGGTTGAGCCCAGGGCAGGCTCCAGAGCATGCTTGGGATTCTCTCTCCCTCTCTCTCTGCCCCTCCCCACTCTCAAAATGAATAAATAAACTTAAAAAAAAAAAAAAAAAAAGAACCATTCTTATTAGCTTGTGAGGAAAGCCAAACTCCCTCCACTTCCCTCCTCAATACTCAAAGACTTATCTATATCAGTTCCCACCCTTATCCCCTTTCCTTCTTTTCTCAGAGGAAGAGGAAGAAATATCCCCTTTCCTGTTCTACGGTGTATCCCTCTGACTGTATTCTCAGTCCCATCGCTACTCTGTGATCTTGGCATCTTACTCCATTGATTGATCTGTTCATTCATAGTCTTCATTCATAGCCTTTTTTGTCTTTGTCTCTCTCTCATCTTCAGCCTCTCACTTAACACTTGGTTCTCAGTTCCTTCCCTTCAGCCTATAAATATGCTGAAATTTCTCCCAGTTTAAAAAAAGCAGCTTCCCACAATCGTGTATTGGAACTGTTTACTCTTATGTGCATGCATTCTCTCCCTCTCATAGCTCCTAGAAGGTGTGGCTTACATTTCCTCTCCTTTCTTTGTTTCCTTTGCTCGTTCCTTCATCCATTGCTTCTGCTTATCAAGCCTCTGAAACAACAGTCTCCAAGGGCACCGATGACTTCTAATTTCAGACTGAAAAGTACCCACTGGACACAGTATCTTTCCCTGCAGCATTCAATATAGCGAACAGTTATTTTTATAAAACTCTCTCCTTCCTTACCTTTTACGGCATCATTTCCTTCCGGCTCCCTAACTGTTCCTTCTTATGCTGTCTCTTGAGCTTCTGTTTCTCTTATCCGTCTGATATGGGTGTTCCTGCTATCAGTCATTAGCCTTCATCTCACTTCACATAAACTTGCTGAGTAATCTCATCCATGCCCAGGCCTTTAGCTCTCTTGGCTGTGAGATGGCTCTCTGGTCTGTATCTCTAGGCCTGACTTCAAGCACTCTGCTCCAACATCCCACTGGTTCCCCCAGACAGCTGTAACTTAGTGAGTCCGCAACTGTTCTCCTTATTTCAGCCTACTTCACAAAACCCTGCTTCAGAATGTCCGTTTACTTGGGTCAAAAATTTGAGGGTCATCCTTAACTTCTAATGGATCACTAAATCCTGTCAGTTCTTGTTCCTCCCCTCCATTGACCTCGTTTTGGTCTTTGTTCGGTCTCTTATCACCTCTTGCTGAGATTGTTATAGTAGTCTCGTAAGTCATCCACCTGCCTCCAGACCCTTCTCCCTCCAGTCCGTCTTTCTCTATTCTGTGATGGAATGATCATTCTGAAACACCGATCTAATCATGTCCTTGTCCCTGTTTAAGATTTTTCATTGGTTTGACCCATGACCCACCCACGGGATAAAATCCAAGCATCCTTTGTGTACCAAGATCTGCTTGCCTTTGTAGCCTCATTTCCTGTGCCTTTCGTGATTTTCTTCCCTCTCTAGCCATGCATGCCTAGCTACTTAGGCTACCCTGAATGCACTGGGTTTTTTCATTTCCATGCCTTTGTACACGTTCACTTTCTCTGAGAAATGCCCACTCTGGCATGTTCTTCCCCCTTTTATGCCTGGTTTACTTCTTTTCCACTCAATTTCTTATAAGAAGCCAGCTTTTCTTAAGCTCTCTTAAGAAGTTAAGATCTCTGTGTAAGTAGCCATCAATTATCGAGTGCTTATTATGTAACGGGCCCTGTGCTTAGTTCTTTATATACCCTAGCTGGCCGGTAAGTAGCTGCTGAATAAATAGCTCTTCTTACCATAATGAGAGAACTGAGCTAGCTTTTAAAAAGCACCTGAAATGGAGAGGAATACAGTGTGTACCAGACCTGGTCCCATAACCTGATCTTTCCCTTTCTCACTACCAGTGACAGTATCATTCTGAAACAAATGGCAAAGAGATCAGAACAGTGGATTTAACGGGGCATCTGGGTGGCTCAGTCGATTGAGTGTCCGACTTCGGCTAGGTCATGATCTCACAGTTTGTGAGTTCGAGCTCCATGTTGGGCTCTGTGCTGACAGCTCAGAGCCTGGAGCCTGCGTTGGATTCTGTCTCCCTCTCTCTCTGCCCCTCCCCTGCTCATGCTCAGTCTCTCTCACTCTCAAAAATAAATAAACATTTTAAAAAACCAAACAGGGGCGCCTGGGTGGCTCAGTCGGTTAAGCGGTCGGCTTCGGCTCAGGTCATGATCTCACGGTCCGTGGGTTCGAGCCCCGCGTTGGGCTCTGTGCTGACAGCTCAGAGCCTGGAGCCTGTTTCAGGTTCTGTGTCCCCCTCTCTCTGACCCTCCCCCGTTCATGCTCTATCTCTCTCTGTCTCAAAAATAAATAAACGTTAAAAAAAATTTTTTTTTTAAAACCAAACAGTGGACTTAATGGTCATTTAGAATTGGGTTAGGTCTTGTGTTTGCCATTTATTGTGTGATCTCAGGCAGGTCTTAGAAATGTGCTTCTAATCTAAAACTGCTGAAGATAGGTGTGTGATTTCCGTTTTGTAGAGACTTGTTAAAGAACGTGAAGCCTGGGAGTACAGTGTGCTGGGATGGGAACCCAAGTCTGCTTGGCTCCAAACTCCATGGGTTTCCACACTGCCATCTGCCTCTGTCTCCCTGAATCATGTTTCAAATCATTTCAGCAAAATTCTTTTCCATCCTAACTATTGGGCTCTAGTTTTCTTAGGATACAGCTTCTGTCTGTGGAGTTTTGGAGGTGGGGCTGCCTGGAGGGGAAAGAATGGGAATGTTCTGTCCAATTTTCTTTTTCTTTTTCTTTTTTTTTAATGTTTATTTATTTATTTTGAGAGAGAGAAAGAGAGAGAATCCCAAGCAGGCTCCATGCTGCCAGCACAGAGCCTGACACGGGGCTCGATCTCATGAACCGTGAGATCATGACCTGAGCCGAAATCAAGGGTCAGACGCTCAACCGACTGAGCCATCCACGCGCCCCTGTTCTGTCCTATTTTCAGAGAAGAGATGTGAAATTAATTTTTCTTCCTTGAATTGAGATGATGATGATGAGAAGCTGAAAGGGGGAAATGCAAGAGGAAAATATTTTGGATGCTACACAGGACAGTCCTAAATGAAGATCCACGGGTCTGTTGTCTTTGAAAGGTCCTTGGTTTGCACTGATCTTGAGTTTCTAGACTGTAGAGAGGATTGTGGTTTACATTCTTGTTCAGAAAGTGTTTTTAGTGTTTTGTTTTTTTCTTAGGGTATTTAATGTTCAAATTTAAAGTCAACGTAGAAGTTAATGCAGGTACTTCTGTGACATGTACTTTATTTATTTATTTATTTATTTATTTATTTATTTATTTATTTATTTTGAGAGAGAGCATGTGCATGCGCAGTGGAGGGGCAGAGAGAGAGGGAGAGAGAATCTTAGGCAGGCCCCATGCCCTGTGCAGAGTGCAACTCGGGGCTTGATCCCGTGACCTTGAGATCATGACCTGAGCGGAAATCGAGAGTTGGACGCTTAATGGACTGAGCCACCCAGGCGCCCCTGTAAATGACATGTACTTCAATTGATTATTTTCTTGGAATTATTTCTTGTTTTGTGAAGGAATAGTGCTCTAATATCTCTTTATTTTTAGAGCATTATTGCTTTCATGGATGAATTAAAGCTTCTTAGGGTTTTTCTTTCTTCTCTCTGTCTCCTTTTTTTTCTGAAGAACCTTGGATCCTGTTGTTTCAAGTTACTCATAGCCTGGAACTTGTGGGTTTTAACTCAGGTCAGGCATGCTTGCATTACAGTGCTGACCAGTTTTGTCACTGAATCTCCTTTTAAAATTTTTTCAACGTTTATTTATTTTTGGGACAGAGAGAGACAGAGCATGAACGGGGGAGGGGCAGAGAGAGAGGGAGACACAGAATCGGAAACAGGCTCCAGGCTCTGAGCCATCAGCCCAGAGCCTGACGCGGGGCTCGAACTCACGGACCGCGAGATCGTGACCTGGCTGAAGTCGGACGCTTAACCGACTGCACCACCCAGGTGCCCCTGAATCTCCTTTTAAAAAATCAACACCGCAGGAATTACTAGGTAGAAACTTCTGGTAGTTTTTTGTTTAGTAAATCTGTGACTGAGGCAAACAGACTGTCTTAACATTTTTTTTAATTGAGGTAAGGTTTCACATACAACATTATATTAGTTTCAGGTGTACAACATAACACTTGGATATTTGTGTATATTGTAAAATGATCATAAGAACTATAATAATTTTCATCACCATATGTAGTTACAAAATTTTTTTTCTGTCTGAAAATTTTAAAGAGTTGCCATTCTTTATTGGATTTTTCTCTGGTCTGGAGAAACTTTCATTTTTAAATTAAACATGTAGAAAAAGCATTGGTATGAATTTTTCTCCCATAGTTCTTTGCTTGTTTTTTTTTCAAGGACCAAGGGAAGTACTGGAAGATGAACTTCCTGTTCAAAAAACCACCTTCCTCATTTGTTGGTTCTCTAAGCTCTGATTGCTAACATTACCCCTGTATTATAGCTATTTTTCAGATGATCTCAAACATAGAAGTTATTTGCATACATATTCTCACCTCCCTTTGTAAGCTGTTTGAGGACAGCATGTGACATCCTTCAGCATAAGTGCTTTTCAATACTTATTCAACCAGTGAATGAGTCTAGACCCTGTCATCAGCCTCCCTGTCTATTCTTATTTTTTACTAGTCTCCACCGGACTCTTCTAGTATAGTCAGACTGGTTTCCTCACCCTTTTTCCTGACAGGCTCATTCTTTTCTTTCTGCCTTTGCAGTGACTCCTTTCTTTGTCAGGACTGCCTTCTTTCCTATTAAAATTTCCCCATATTCTAGGGTCTGGCTAATGTTCCCTTGGTCATGAAGCCAGCTGACTGCTTTAGTTCATATTAATCTCTTCTATTTTTAGACCATCGTATGCGGTAACAGAGTTTAACACCTAACTGACCACTATTATTTGTTTCAATTATTTTGCCCCCTCATTTGGACTTTTGTGAGTGTAATGGCAAGGTCTTCTACCTTTTGGAACTCATATAAAGTGCTCAGCATATCAATATATCAGTAAAGGTGTGCTGAACACATTTATTTATAAGACCTATTGAAAGGATGAGAGATGCAAGGAAGGCAAATTGCCTTCTTTCAGGGAGCTTTCAATCTAGTAACTTCCCAACAAATAGCTGTTTGGGCTTAAACAATATTAATATGTTAATTTAAGTAATTGTTTTTTAAGCACGTAGAAGCATTTTTGTTTTCTGCTTGAATGATGACATAGCATTTAAAAGGGTCCCATTTGAAATGATTCTGGGAAGATGGCAGCTTTAGCACATCTCTACTGCCCTCTTTTTATAAACCCAGTTTAAATTTGAGAGCTTAGAACAAGAACGCCAAGAGTTAGAGTGGGAACTTACGAAGGCAGAGGACTCAGAGACTAGATCCAGGAAACCTAAGATGCATACAATAAAATTTTAGTAGGAGAAATAAGTAATAGAAGAAAAATGCCCTGAGCTGAGAAAAGATTGCAAATTGAAAAAGACTGCAGATTTGAATGAGTGTGCTGTGTTCCAGGCAAGACTGATGAGGAATGGCATAAACCTAGGCATCTCCTGATAGAATTCCTGAATTCACTGATAAAGAAAAAGACATCCTATGAGCTCCTAGATAGAAAGATGAAGTTAAAACAGCACCAACAAGAAAACAGACTGTTCTCATTTGCAATACTGCAACTTTGATGATGGTGTGAGAAACATCCACAAACTATTGAGAAAAGAGGTCTCTACTCCAAGAATCCTGTATGCAGAATAGATATGTACCCTTTGGGGAAAAGAAAGCTCTGTGAGCGTGCAAAGATTCAGAGATTGTATCACCCACAGGCTCCAATCTAAGCAGTGTACCCTAATGAAACAGATAATGTGAAACAGAGACCCCAAGATTGGAGGAAGAAAGGGAACAGTGATGGATAATGGACTTTGACATAAGGGTATATATGTTATATTTATATAATTACATTCATAGCAAGTGACAAAGAATGTGTAATATAAATGCTAAGTAAGAATTTTTGAAACAGAAGAGACCTATTACAGCAGAAAACCTGGTTGTCTGAATGAAATAGACTAGGGGTGCCTGGATGGCTCCGTCAGTTAAGCATCTGATTCTTGATTTCAACTCAGGTCATGGTCTCATGGTCGTGGGATGGAGCCCCGCATCGAGCTCTGTGCTGAGTGTGGAGCCTGCTTGGGATTCTCTCTCACCCTCTCTCTCTGCTCCTTTCCTGCTCATGCTACATGTCCACACTGCATGCAGTGCTCTCTCTCTCTTTCAAAATAAATAAATAAACATTAAAAAAAATAGTCTAAATGATTTCAGCAAAACTCAGACGTTGTGGATCAGGGTAGTATGGGGATGGGTGGGGTGTAATAACATTCTTTGCTATCATTGGGATGTTGGCAGGGGTAAGTATGGGAATGAACTGCCTTGGTGAGGAGAAAAAGGCTTTGTAATAGTATTAAAATTTTTTTCAAATACTTCAGGGTAAATATCACAAAAAAGGCACAGGATCCATGTGAAGAAAATTATAAACTCTCAAGGATGTAAAAGCAAGATCTGAAAAAATGTAAATATATAACATATTCCCAGATGGGAGGACTAAATATATATAAAATTAACAGAAATTCATTACAGCTTCAGTGGAGAGTTCTTTGGGTAGTGGGGAATTAGATAATGATCTCAGTGTGCATATAGTAGAATAAATGTTTTGGAATAGCCAAGCCAAGCCAAAATAGTGAGGTGGTCCTTGCTTTACCATGTATTAAAGCAGAGTCTAAAATCACTATGCTCTAAGCAGGATGGTATTAGCATTTGAATAAAGACGAATGAACAGAATAAAGTGCCCAAGTCCTTGTATATGTAGGAAAAATAATTCTAAAAACATGAAAGTTTCATGAGCTTAGACCACTTGTCTTCTCAAATTCTCAGATTAGCAAAGATCTTAAAATAAGCTGGCCGGGACTCCATAGGACATCAGAAATACTGAACTTCTTTAAAAAAAAAAATGATTTTTAAATGTTTATTTATCTTAGAGAGAGAGGCATGAGCAGGAGAGAGGCAGAGAGAGAGGGAGGCACAGAACTCAAGGCAGGCTCCAGGCTCCATGGTGTCAGCACAGAGCCTGACATGGGGCTCAGACTCAGGAACTGTGAGATCATAACCTGAGCCGAAGTCAGATTCTCTACTGACTGAGCCACCCAGGAGCCCCAGAAATACTGAACTTCTTGATGTTCTATTTATGCTGCCAAGAGGAGCACACTGGAACCAGAAACAAAAGACCTTTCCTCTTGCAGTGTCTGTAGACCAGCTACAGACTAGCTTAACGTTCAGGCATCAGGCAAAAGAAAATTATTTAAAGGGTCCATCTTAATTTTCTCAGAACAGGCAATGAAGGGTAGATTGGGAGCTGAGAAGCAATAAATTGAAAGCTGACATACCCTTGATTCTTCTTTTTCTTTCAGTCCAACTCTCCATATGTAGTTCCTCTATAGTTTTTTTCATTTTTTATTTTTTTCATTTTTCATTTTTGAGAGAGAGGGAGAGACAGAGTGTGAGTGGGGAGGGGCAGATAGAGAGTGAGACACAGAATCCAAAGCAGGCTCCAGGCTCTGAGCTGTCAGCACAGAGTCTGACATGGGGCTGGAACCCACGAACTGTAAGACCATGACCTGAGCTGAAGTTGGACACTTGATTGACTGAGCCACCCAGGCGCCTTAGTTTTTTTGGTACCACCTTGAAAAGTATCCTTAGTCTGTTTCTCTCTAACACTGTTCACTGCTAATCATTGCCTGGCCTGTTCATCTCTGGCTTGGCTAGCTCCTTCCTAGTATCCTTGCTGTCTTCTCTGTCACTGATTTCCACATAGCAGCTACAGAGAGCTTTTTGTTTATTTAGTTTTTTTTTAAAGTTTATTTATTTATTTTGAGAGACACAAAGAGAGAGAGTGCGCATACAAGTTGGGGAGGGGCAGAGAAGAGAGGGAGACAGAGAATCCCAAGAGGCTCCGTGCTGTCAGCACAGAGCCCCATGCGGGGCTCCATCCCACGAACCGTGAGATCATGACCCAAGCCGAAATCGAGTTGGCTGCTCAAGCGACCTCGCCACCCAGGTGCCCCTACAGTGAGCTTTTTAAACCACAGATTTGATCATGTTGCTTTTCTGCCATAAGACCCTTCGATGGCTTCTTTTTGCATTAAAATAAAATTCAGACTCCATTCTATGGTCTCTAAGGCCTACACAGTCCCAAGCCCTCATCTGTTGATCTCATCCACTGTGCTTCAGCCACATTGGCTGACTTCTCTCCTTCCTCTTCTCTTCCTTCTCTCTGTTCTGTTTTTTACTCTTTCCTCCCTCCCCCGTTCTCTTTCCCTTTCCCTTTTATTTATTTAGCTGCTATTTATTGTGGCCTACTATGTGCCACACAAGTACAGGCAACAGAGCAGTGGTTACAATAACAAAAATCCCTGCCCTTAGGGAGCTTACATTCTGTAGGAATAGACAAAAATTAGTAAGTAATCTATTTTGCTTGTCAGATGGTAAAAATTTCAAAGGAGATCAATCATGAAGAGGGATACAGAATACGGGGGCTGAGTCCGTGGGTACAATTTAAAATAGGGTGGTCAGGGATCCTAAGATGGCATTTGAGCAGAAACCCAAGGGCAGTGAGTCTCTTTTCCTCTTCCTTGAACTCACCATGCTTGTCCCCACTTCAAAGCCTTGTTTTTTGCTTTGCTTCTGCTTGGAACGCTCCTCTCCAAGATCTGTGCTTGGCCAACAACTCTGCCTCCTTTCTGTCTCAGCTCAAAAGTTACCTTCTCAGAGATGCCTTCCCTGACTGCCAGGTTCAAATAAGTAACTCCTCCCATTTCTCTCCATCACATCTCTCTTGTTACTTTCGTTTTCTGTTTTAAATTTTCTGATTAATGCATACCGTCATTTGAAATGATCTTGTTCCTGTATTTATTTATTATCTGATGCTCCCCTAGTAAAATGTTAGTTCTGTAGGGGACCTTGCTGTCTTGTTTCCCTGCTGGATGTCCACGGTCTAGAATAGAAGACTCTCAGTAGACACTTGTTCAGTGAACAGATGGATTTTGCAGGCAGAAGATTCCAACGGGATTCCTTAGATGGTGTAGCTTTACAGAGTAAAGAAGTGTGGGCTCTGGCCCCAAGGCCTCTGGCAGGAAAGAAAGGGAGCCCCTGTGGGAACTGGTCAGGACTGGAACTCAGGGGCTCATGGTGTTCCTGGCATTTTCTGGTTAGTTTCTGAAGTGAATTTGTTTTTCCTTTGTTTCCTCACCTGTTTGTGCCCTCTGATTTTCCATATGACTTTTATAGCGGATGATGTGTCACAACTTTCCATTTCATCAGCCTACCTGGCTACTTTGCGCATTCAGTTCAGCTGATGTTTATTACAGAAGATCCAGTCCCACACCTGGTACAGTGCTTCACGACCGCTGGAGCCACACCACTGAGCACCTCGCTCCCTGCATGCAGGGGACGCACACCCCTTCTGTTTCACTGTATTTCGCCTATGCAAAGTTGATTCTCTTTTTGTTTTACTTTAACCAAATGTATTACCCACATGATCTGATCTGAGGTGTAAGCTAATTGGGTGGGTTTTTCTGTAGACCAGATATTGTCAGCAACCTTCATTTTGGTTTAACTGGTTGGTCCTGGTTGAGAAAAGCTAAATATTTCATATGCCTGTTTTTCGTACATCTTTTCTTGGCCACATTATATCTTTTGCAAAATGTTGGAAAACCAGGGGAGTGAAATATTTAGCCGTGTGGTAAATATTAGGTTTGTTGAACTACATCAGGCCTTTGGTCAGTTTAACCTAGCATGTGCCAGTTAGACTCAGGACACTCATGAGCCACCCATAGTATGTCCAGCTGTACACACATAACACTTTCATCCTAGGTCCTACCAGTTTTTTCTCAGGTGCCTATTTGAATATCTGTGTCCAAGATATTGTTCAAACACTAACGTAAGTTGGCACATTGCATAAATACAGTAAAATCTCACAATATTCCATTTATTTATTATTCTGTCATGAGCTTCTAGTTTATCTTTGTGGTTGAGAAATAGAGCTTGTGAAACATCTTAATAATTAAGATTATCTTATTTCAGTAAAGACTGAAAGAAACATGATTAAAATGATTACCGTGTTGAAAAAACATGACTAAGGTGATTGTTGTTAATTAGCAGAAGATCACCATTGTCAGAAGAAGTAAATTCTTCAGAATCCTGAATTTGATTTGATCACCTTCTAAGTTTTCCTTATAATTGTTCAAAGAAAGAGTTATTCATTAGTGGTGGGGCTTCTTTCTTTTTCATTTTCTTGTACTTGGTTTCAGTTGTCTCAGTTTTCTTACCTGTAAAATGTGGATAATAATAGTGTTTATAGGATTTATGTGGGAACAAAATCAGTTAATACATAAAAAATATTTACCTGTTACTAGAACAGTGCCTGGCACCTGGTTAGCACTGTCTTTTATGCCACTATGCTGCGGTTAACTTTATATATTCCAAAACTGCTATCCTTGCAGAAGTGGTGATCAGTGAAGACTATCGGAATCGGGTGTATGAACCCAAATTTGGTTTCTAGCTTTATCTAAAACAGGATGATACTTAAAGCCATGAGAATAGATGAGTTCACTCAGGAAAGAGCGTGTGTCATGAACAGAGAGGAGTATTTCAGACAGACCCCTAAGAAATGCTGACATGGGCAGAGGAAATGAAAACCTGTAAAGTCAAGTAGGAGGAAGTGGCTGGGGGTTTAGCAAGAAAGCTGGAGAAGGAAAATCAGGAGAGTTTGAGGTCAGAAAGACAAAAGAGGAAATGATTAAATGTTGCAAACACAAGAATGATAAGGATATGATGGATTTGTTGGATTTAGCCACCAGGTGGTTTATGAATTTGGTGAGAGTGATTTTAATGCAGTGATGTGGGAATCTGAAGCCCAATTATAATGGGCTAATCAATGAATGAGAGGAAATAGAAGAATTTCAAAAACAAAACAACTCTCAGTAAATTTGACTGTTATCAGGAGGATGGGACATGACAGTTTTTTGGTAGTTATTTGTAGAGATAAGATGTTGTGAACAGCATCTTTATTGCCTCATAAACCACCTAAAGAATGCACGTGTAAGCACTGAAGGTGCTTATGCAAGGGGCATTAGTGTACCTGGAGCATTTTGGGAAGGAGCGCCTGTAGTAGTATTGCACGGTCTCAGAGTTGACAGTTGAATAGGAGTTCGGTGGGCACACAGACAAGGGAGAAGGATACTTCAGGTTTGGAGAAAAGCATGGATTTGTGCATCATTGTAGCATGTTTGAGGAATTCTGATGATTTAGTAACTGCTAGAGCATAAAGGTAAGCTCAGTAGTCCAGTGGGCCTGGACAGGTGAGCAGGGTTGAGAGCATGGCAGGGGTGGGCCTTAGAGTCTTACATTTTATCGTGTGGGTCCTTGCTTCTCAGCGGAGTTTGTGTGGATGTGCCAGGAGGTATGCAAAGCTATAGGATACGCACGATACGTCTTCTTGGAGTAGGCATTTGATTGGATTTGGGGGAAATTATGGTTGTATTAAAACATGAATATATTATACAGAATCAAAAATTAAAGACAAAATACAATTTTATATTTAAAAATTTTTAAATAACATATTTTCCTGGCTGGCTTCTTCAGGCTGTGCCTTGTGCCTCTTCTAGCCCTCCATCCCCCATCGCTTTTCTTCAGGTGAAAGAGTTGATCCATCCATATAGGTGATGTGCAATCATTGCAGAATTGTAAGTAGGAGTGGTTGACCTCTGTATTTGGTAAAGATTGCCCCAGAGGAGGGTGATTTCAGCCTTCCGGGTCATACAACCAAGGGGCACCACTCCCACTGAATATAATGAAGAATAGCCCTGAATAGATAAGAACAGAGCAGGAGGACAAGACAGGACAGGGGAACTTCTTTTTTTCTTTTTTTTTTTTAATATATGAAATTTATCGTCAAATTGGTTTCCATACAACACCCAGTGCTCATCCCAAAAGATGCCCTCTTAGGACAGGGGAACTTCTAATGAGGCCACTGAAATGAGCTAGTGGTCTCTGCAGTAGGATTAGGGAAGAGGGAACAAAAAGAGGTATTTGAGGAGGCAGAATTGATGCAACTAGTGTAGAAGAGGAGGGCCTATGATATGATAGCAGAACCGGGGCTGACTCCAAGTTTTCTGGCTTAGCATCTTGAGAGGATGATGGCACAATTTCCTAGTACAGGGAATAGAGGAAGAACAGTTTTGCCTACAGGAAGAGATAAATTCAGTGTTATTGAGAGGTCTTTGGCCATGCAGGTGGAGAAGCAGGTGGTTGGCGGTGTGTGTGTAACTCTTTAGAAAAGCCTGTCCTGAAGATACACATTCAGTATTCCTGAGTGGTCATCACTGACCATGGAAGCCATGGGCATGACCGAGGTGGTCCAAGGGGAGCACACTGAATGAGAAGAGATTAAATGTAGAGCTCTGGAAGTACCACCGTTTAAAGAGGAAGCTGAAGAAAAGGAATCTGAGAAAGAGTGGCCAGGGAGGTATGCATGACCAAAGTGGGAGAACAGAGTAACAGGGAATTGCAAGAAGTGCCTGTTGCTGCTGAGAATTTAACCAAGAGTGGACTGAGAAATGCCCTTGAAATTTACAAGTGGAGGAAGTCATTGGTGATGACTTTTCCCTGAGCTGTTTTAATTGTGTTGTGGCAGGGGACTGCACACCTGTTGGGAGTAGTGCAATAAGGAATCCAAGGTGGAAGAGGAAGTGGAAGTAGAGGCAGGCAGTGTATACTGCTCTTTCAAGCTGGGCTGCGTGAGGTGAAGGAGAGAAAGAATAGTAACTACAATGCTTATACGTTTATCTCTCTGCATACGAGAAAGCAAAGTTGCGTGAGGAGAGGAATTTCCTTTTATTCACCCCTTTAGCTTGAGGTAGAAAAGAGCTCCTGGCACCCAGTAGGTGCTCAATAAATATGTGGTGGCTGTATTAATGAATTATGTTAAGAAGGGAGAGACTTGAGCATGCTCCTTTGTGGGGGCAAGGGTAGAGGTTTTGGAGAGGAGAGGTTGAAGGTGTAGAGTAGAAAGGACATGATGGAACGTGGTCTCCGTGAGTCAGGAAAGTGAGATCCCAAGTACTGCTGGAGTGGTTATCCAGGATACAGGAGTGACTCCTGAAGTCACAGAAGGAGAGGAAGAAAGGACGGGAACAGGGGCAGATATTTATAGGTGGTGGAGGAGGAAGTTGGGGGAGTTCTCTCCTGATGGTCTTATGAGTATTCTCTGAGTTAAAAATAAGAATGAGTATCATGTATATATCCTTGGAAAACGCTTTGTGAGGTCATACAAAAAAGCCACTCCCACTCAAGCAGCTATGCTTATGTGGAAAGTCCTGGATACGTAATTGTAGGCACACACGAGGTTGTGGTCAGTGACATAAAGGGTAGGTGAGGTAAGGCTGCGCCAGGGAGCATGAGTAAGAGTAGGTGAGACAAGAGGTCTCCAGTCTCCGACATAAATGTAGGGAGTGGCTGAGAGCTGAGAGAAGGGAATATACATACCAGTGAGAAATCCAGTTTGTTGAGACCCACAAACAGCACGAGATTGTCCTTGGACTCCCTAAGGAAGTCAAAGGAAAGGCAGTGCATGAGGCTCACTTTTCCCACTTTGAGATACAGTGAAGAGAAACTTGAGCCTTGAGTCAGGTAGAGTAACTCTTTGTTAACAAGTCCTCTGGTTCTAACCAGGCTGGTTTTCCAGTGATTTATTTCTGATTCATTTCACAGGAAACTGCTTTCCCAACTTTTGACAACCTGTTATCTAAAATGATTGGTCTGTTTAGAAGCAGAGGTAGTAGAAAGAGGATGTGACAGTATCTCGGTGAGTCATAAGGAACAAGACATGACCATATTTGTTCACCTCATCAGGTTTTATCTAGAATTAAAGGATATTAAAGTGTCCATTTTGTTTCAGTTAACAGTTTAGTAATAAATTCTCACTTGTTGAGAAGTCTCTCTTTTGGATCTCATCAAGTTCAAGACTACATATTTCTCAGGAATTTCTGACAGGGAAAATACAGCAGTCAGGATGGGTTTTATGGTCTTCTAGATTTCTGTTGAATTTAAATAACCCAAACAAGCTGATTTTTTTTTCTTTTGCTATTAACCTTATGAGCCATTATTACAAATTGACCTCTGACAGTGAAGCTGTACAAGGCAGGCTAGAGTTGGCCTTGAGTCTGGCTGCTTCTGTTTTTGCATTTCTCACATGTTAAAACATGTTCCCTGTAAAGTGAACACAGGATCTTTCAGAAGGGGATCAGATTCTAAGAGTAAAAGGTGTTTTGCTTAGAGCAAGTTGCAAATTGTAATCACTTACTTAACTGCCCTATCAGGGAAAACAAGTTCATAATGTGAAGAGCACCTGTCACTTTTTGGAGGTGGAGAGAAGTAGCTTTTTTTCTTTTCTTTGACATAAGGTGAAATCAGAGGCTGACTAAGCTATGCTAATTATGACTTGGTATCACAGTTAGCTCAATACTTAGAATTCATTTTTTTGAAGCCATCCAAGATTTGATGGGTGGTGGGGGAAAACCCTCTGTGTCCCCACCTCACTCCCCCACGTTCTAAGCTTTTTAGCCATTAGTTGAATAGTTAGAACTCCAGGTAGGCCTTTATTTGGAGGAAGAAAATTAACTTTATTGGCATTCTTGATGAGAACTAAGGGAAGGAGAGTTATCTAGTCAGTTTGGCATCAACAAGCTGAGAACCCATTTCTCATTTTCATGGACAACTAAGTTGTAGCCAGATCCCTATTTTCCTGAGTTTAGTGTGTGTGTGTGTGTGTGTGTGTGTGTGTGTGTGTGTGTGTGTGTGTCTCTCAGAGACAACACTCAAGAATTCTGAAAGAGACCAGACGTCTGGACCCTTTTACCAGATTCTCATTTCTGTTGGCTTTTCTGGGAATCAACTGGGAAAGCATTCTGAGGTGAGAGACACATCAGAGGCAGTGAGTGAGGTAACTTGGAAAAGATCACTGAGTTCAGGTCCCATTTCTGCTATTTACAAGCTGTGACCTCTCTTAGCCTCTGGGAGATGAAGTGGCTAGATGAGAGAACCTAGGTCTTTGCAGCTTTTCATTCCTGTGATGACCTGTATGTTTATGAAAATATATGAAAAGGAAATCCTATTTTAAATTCATCAGGATAGTTATTATTTAAAGAAACCCGTATATAGTGGGAATCATCACTGCCTAATATGTAGTCAGTCAAAACTTATGTTGAGTTTTCTCAAAGTAAGGCACACACTTAACTATTCAGGATGTGTGCTGTTGTTGTTTTGGTCTGTTGAGGATTAAGGGACAGGACTTTAGTTCTGAGTCTTATAATTTACAGCTTGTTGAATTCCCCCTTTAGTGCATCTCCTCTCCCCTTTGCCCTCCCCTCCTCTCCAACCTCAGCATCCTGTGCATTTTTCATCTGTACTGCTTATCAGATTACTTTATAGTTGTTTGCTTACATTTCTCTCTGTCCTTCCCAGAGGCTGGAAACCACGTCCTATTCATCTTTACTTTTATAAAACATTGAGGAGAAGAAAGATGGTGAGATGTCAGGAAATAGGCAGCAGTAGAGTCAAAGATGGCCCAGGGAAGCCCGGGTGGCTCCGTCGGTTGAGCTTCTGACTGTTGATTTTGGTTCAGGTTGTGATCTCAGGGTTGTGGGATCAAGCCCTGTGTTCGGCTCTGCACTGAGCATGGAGTCTGCTTGGGATATTCTCTCTCTCTCTCTCTCTCTCTCTGTCTCTCTCTGTCTCTCTCTGTCTCTCTGTCCCTCCCTCTCTCTGCTCCTCTCCCTAGCTAGTGCTCGCTCGCTCTCTCAAAAAAAAAAAAAAAAAAAAAAAGCCCAGATTTTGGTTTGGGTGACCAGGGGAATGATGGTGTTACATATAGAGACAGCTGAGGTGCCGGTTTGGAAAGAAGGTGGTGTAATCTTGGACAAGATTGAATCTGTGGCACTGTCAGAACATTCAGGCAGACTACTCAGTAGGCAGTTAGCAGTGATGACTTATGTCCTGGGGCAGTTGAAGGATTTGGGCATCATCTACAGGAGGCTCATCAGGGTGAATCAGATCTTTGAAAGGGAAAGTAAAAAATGAAGGTAATGGGGAATGCTGCCCATATTTAGGAAACTCCAGGATAAAGAAGAGTCCTCCAGAGTGCCAGGAATGATGACAGAAGTAGGAGATGGACTGGGGTGTGCGGTACCATGCTTTTATGGAGGTAAAGACTTAACAGTGTTAAAGCTGTAGAGAGGTTAGGAGAATTAGATGAGGGAACGCAGATGGTTGGATTAGTCAGTTCTGGTCCTGTGGCTGAATCAGAGGCTAGATTAAAAAGTGATGAGGACATAGAAACTATGAGTGTAGGCTTCTCATTTTGAAATTGGGAAAAAGGGTTGAAAGAACAAGGGCAGATTCAAAGGAAGACTTATTTTACTTTGTTATTATTTTTTAATAATAGAGGTTACTGAGGAATCTTTATAGGCCTGGGGAGGCTAAGAAAGGAGGCTAAGAAAAGATTGAGTTGGCTAGGGGGGTTTGGACACAGACTAGACCCCTGAGGGTGGAAGGTGAGCTTGAGATCAGCAGGATTGTGGGGTTGCCGTCCTGCTGCAGTGGTGGGAGGGGCACCTCTCCCAAGACTGTAGGAGGGTTTGGTTGTAAAAACTGATTGGGGCTGGGAAATTGGTGTGGGATTAATGGGAAAAGATTCTTCAGAAAGACGGAAGCATGGAGTTTTGAGAAATGTGAAAAGAATTAGAGCTGTGGGAAAGTTTGAGAACAATTAATGAAACAATGAAAGCAGAGCCAGAACCCGTGAGGCCAGAGCCAGTGTGGTCAGCATGGATTTGGAGTGGACACGGTTGCGTGATGTTTGTGTGGAACTATGATATCAGGATGTCATACAAGTCATTAGTGTGAGTGTCAGTGGCCCCCTGGTCCAGAGAAAAGCAGAAGGCAGGTTGTAAAGATGGGAACGTGCTCTGAGGAGGGGTGGGCTTCAACACTGTGCCATCGTCCTTGACTTCACAGTTCAGACTGTCCCATGTTGTTGATCACTGAGCATTCCTGTGTTACTGTTTTTGCGTGTATGTGTTTGAAGCAGGAAAAAAGATTATCTTATTTAAGGGTTATTGAGGGGAAAAAAGGTATGAGAATACTTGTAAGAATGCTATGCTCCCCCCCCCTTTTAATTTAAAAAAGAATGGCATGGGAATTGTTGAAAAACTCTGTGAAATGGAAAAATAGTTTCCTCCCTCCCCCAGTCCTGCTTCCCAAATGAAATCACTTTTTATCAGTTCTGGTGGGTAACAGTATAATTTTCAATAATATGTTAAGTCAACTTACAATGAGAAATTTATCCATTCCTGTATTCTTTTCCTCCTGAATTTTTTCAGTTATACTATTGTTCTTACATTGTCAAGGTAAATAATGTTTATATTGTTTTGTGTAACAAGAAGTAGTCTTTGTGCTATGTATACACATTAAGCCTAAGGGTTTATACCCCACAAATACCACTTTTGCAATATTATTATTAAATAAATATTACTTTAGAACCTAGAAGTGCTGTTGGGCATGTGGAGAAGGAAATAGGATGCTTTATCATCAAACCCCTGCCTCAAAGAGAATGGTGCAAACAACAAGATCTACTGAATCCTCTTTTAATTTCTTTTTAGCTTTCTATGCTCTGTCTAGGTCTTACTCAGCCTATTGTTTCTCATACTTTACGTTGTCATTTTCCTTATTTTTAAAAGAATTTTGGAATAGTTATTTTTAGTACGGGGTGCATGAGTGTTAAACTTTAAGTCCTTGCCTAATGTCGTTACCTCCCGTTGATTGTCATTTCTCTGAATGTAACCTATTTTTATATCATGGAGGCTTTTCGGATTTGCCTTTTGTCCTTGGAGTTGTGAAATTCATTAGGATGTGTCTAGGTGCGTGTCTTCTTCATCCTGTTTGGCACTTGGTAGACTTCTTTCAATCTGTTTTTATTGGCTGTCTTTCTACAGCTCAGAGGGACTTTGTTTTATTACTTCTTTCCTTCCATGTGTCTTGTTTTTAAAGTATTTTGTGTTTTCTCTTTCTTTTTTAAATTTCCTCTCTTTTAACAGCGGTTTATTCTTTTTTTTTTTTTTTTTTGCACATGATAGCCTCTTGAATCTGTGTAGATTAGAAAAAAATTTTTTTAATATTTATTTATTTTTGAGAGAGACAGAGTGCAAACAGGGGAGGGGCAAAGAGAGAGGGAGATACAGGATCCAAAGCAGGCTCCAGGCCCTTAGCTGTCAGCACAGAGCCTGGTGTGGGCTGGAAACCATGAACCACAAGATCATGACCTGAGCCGAAGTTGGACACTCAACCGACTGAGCCACCCAGGTGCCCCACTCTGTGTAGAACTTTTTAAAAGTTCTGTTCTTTTTTTTTTTTAATTTTTTTTTAATCTTTATTTATTTTTGAGAGAGAGACAGAGTGTGAGGAGGGGAGGGGCAGAGAGAGAGGGAGACACAGAATTCAAAGCAGGCTCCAGGCCCTGAGCTGTCAGCACAGAACCTGACGTGGGGCTCCAACCCGCGAACCGTGAGATCATGACCTGAGCTGAAGTCGGACACTCAACCGACTGAGCCCCTTTAAAAGTTCTCTCCTAATTCCAGAAATATTTCATTTTTCTTTTGGGGGCACGTTCTCCCAGTGGTCCATCTTGGCCCATTTTTTCCATTTCGTAGGGAAACATTTCCTCAAATGTCATCATTGTTCATGATTAATGTGAATGGCTAGGTTGATAAATTAGTATAGGTAGTTGGCATGGTTTTCTTCTGGAGTTAAATTGGTCTTATTATTTGAATTTTTCTTGTGGAATATCACATACAAAAGAGTATATATTATGTGAAACACTGTTTAAGTAAGAGTAGTAAGTTATCCATGATCTAGTTTAGCAACTAAAATCTTTATAGACCCTTGAGGGCCCTGTGGACTGATTATTCTCCCTCGCCCTCAAATGTAACCATCATTCTGAATTTGGTTACTCGTTACCTAATTTTCCTTTATAGTTTGTATATATCCCAACAAAATATTTAGTTTTGTAAGTTTCTGAACTCTTCTAGTGGAATCATGCTTTTTTTTTTTTTGCTTAGCATTGTTTATGAGATTGATTCCTGCTGATGCAAGTTATTGTACTTCTTTTTGTTTTCCTGCTGCTCTAGCATTCCATTGCATGAATTCATCTCAACTTGTTAGTCTATTCACCACTTGGCAGATATTTTAGTTGTTTCCACTATTTTGCTATTGCAAACATCATTGCTATGAATATGCTTATATATGTCTTCTATATTTAAACATATGTGTATATGACTCTAGAATGAAATAGAACACAATCTTTGGATAGGAAATTGTGAGGGATTAAAAATTCTTTAATAAACTTCTTTGTGTTTTCCATAGTTCCTTAAATGCCCTTGGTTTTATGTTCTGGAATTAAAAAAAAAAAATTTAACATCTACACTCTTTTCCTTTGGAAAATACAGAAAAGGGTATGGCTTAATAAGAGAAATTTGCATTAGTAAATGTGGAAAGAATCAGTGCAACTTTCATGTGTTAAGTATGATTTTTGCAAGCTTACTGATTTTGTAGAATCTTTGGCAGTGCTTTTGTATCAAATAAGTCTATTTGTAACTACCTCCAGGCTTGAATTATAAGTGTTTCTGTCAAGTTTGTAACTTTTAAAACTTGTTTTCTGTTATTTTCTTATTCATCTGCTGTCAGTCGCTCAAATTGCCTTTGCCAGCATTATTCCCAGTAAAGGAGATCCATCAAAAACTTTTGCTATCTTAGCCATCAAAAAGAATGAAATCTTGCCATTTGCAAAGACATGAATGGAACTAGAATGTATTATGTTAAGCCAAATAAGTCAATTGGAGAAAGACAAATACCATATGATTTCACTCATATGTGAAATCATAGGAGTTTCATGTTTCATCAAAACAGATGAACATATGGGAAGGCAGGGGAGAGAAGAGGGAAACAAGAGACTCTTAAGGATAGATACTCTTAAGGATAGAGAACACACTGAGGGTTGATGGAAGGAGGTGGGTGGGGATGGGGGATGGGCTAGATGGGCTATGGGTACTAAGGAGGGCACTTGTGATGAGCACTGGGTGTTGTGTGTAAGTGATGAATCACTGAATTCTACTCCTGAAACCAATATTACATCGTATGTTAACTAACTAAAGTGTAATAAAAAAAAAAAAAAAAAAACAACCTTTTGCTATCTAAGCAAATAGAATAATTTTAAAGTGTTGAAAAGATTTAAGAGTTTTATTATAGGTCAATTGGCTTATGGATTATAAAGTTTTGGGGTTTTGTTTTTAGAGCCTCAGTTTCTTCAGACTAAGGCATACCTATGCTTTTGATAATAAGCTTTGATACTCTGCCTAAATTACATAGGCTTGCTTGGGGTAACAATTTTTCTATACCTCACTGACTCGGCTGAAGGTGATTGAGCAAATAGAGGCATTCAAAGCAACTGATCACAGAGCTCAGGAAGTTTTGATTGATCGATAATAGATCTAATAAACTTGGCCTCAGACATAGAGGAAATCCTTTTTAAATGCCTCTAAACTTTGTGGAACCATTTTGTGTGGGCCTTCATTTAAAGACGCACCCCCTCGGATAAGCAGTC